GGTGCTGGAGTTGGGCTGGGTCTAGGCTGGGTCTTAGGCTGGGCTGGTGCTGGAGTTGGGCTGGGTCTAGGCTGGGTCTTAGGCTGGGCTGGTGCTGGAGTTGGGCTGGGTCTAGGCTGGGTCTTAGGCTGGGCTGGTGCTGGAGTTGGGCTGGGTCTAGGCTGGGTCTTAGGCTGGGCTGGTGCTGGAGTTGGGCTGGGTCTAGGCTGGGTCTTAGGCTGGGGTTGGGGCTGGGGTTGGGGCTGGGGCTGGGCTGGTGCTGGGGCTGGGCTGGAGCTGGGCTAGGTCTGGGCTGGAGCTAGGGTGGGGCTGGGTGGGGGCTGGGCTGGGTCTGGGCTGGGTCTGGGCTGGGTCTTGGGCTGGGCTGGAGCTGGGCTGGGGCTGGACTGGGGCTGGGCCTGGGGCTGGTGCTGGGGCTGGGGCTGGGCTGGGGCTTTGTGCGTGCTGGTGCGGGTGTGGGTGCGTGTGTGGGCTTGGGCAGGCAGCACTGCCAGGCCCAGTGCTGCCCTTCAGCCTCATCTCTACGCCCTAAGGGCAGCTGCGCCCTTTAAACACTGGGACTGTCTGTGCCAGCCAGCAAGGCGTGAAGAGTTAAAGTCCGGAATGCAGCCTCAACCAGCAGTGGACAGGGAGTCGGTGGGAACATGCCCAACTGCTCCCCTTGGCTGAGAAAACTCTAGAGTTCACGTTCTCTCCCAGGGTAGTGGGGGGTAGGGGGTAGCTCCTTAACTGCTCTCTCTTACCTACATCTCCTTTTCCATCCTATTTCCTCACCCTCTAGTGGTTTTTCCTAGGATCGCCTTCAAAATAAGTGAATGCTGTGCAAACCCTCATCTTAGGGCCTGGGAGCTGGGGTGACCCAAACCAGGACAGTGGGGCATACCTGGGCCAGGCCCTGGGGTCTCTGACCTCAGGGACTGTGGAAGGGCAAGGAACTTGGGCACTCCCCAGCAGGGGGCACGGAGCACTTAGGGTTAATCTTTTAGTCTGTGGGTGGTGGGGAGCCAGGGGTCTTCAGAGAATGGCTGGGCAGCAGGGCACAGGGTAGGAGGCACCTGGGAGTGGCGGTATACCGCCTGGTTTGGAAGCCTTCTAGTGGTTCGACAACCAGGACAGCTGTGCTAGGGGCCGGGTAACGATTTCCAGGGCCAAGGGGAGGAGGCTTGCCCTGCTCGGGAGAGATGCCCCCCCGCCCCCCTGTGCAGACTATATGGAACTGGGGGATGCTTCTGAAGGTCAGGAGTGGGATGGACCAGCAGGCGAGGGCTCTGGTTGGGAGGGAGCAGGTCTGGAGTTCTTTTCACTTACTCACCTTGTAGCTCCTCTTGGGCACAAACCCTAAGCAGTGGTGAGCCATGAAGACGAGGTTGAGGAGGAAGTAGAGGAAGGAGAAGCAGCTATGCAACCACAGGACCTTACTCCTACCAGAAACAAGACACAGGAGGGGTGAGACCACCCTCTCCCACCCAGACAGTCTCCTTTGGGCCACCCTCAGACACTCGGGCTCCTTAGAAGGGGGAGCGGCCATGGTAAGAAGGCGGAGGCCCACGCCAGCTACCGCAGGCTAACATTGACTGAGGGCTTACTACATGCCAGACCCGGGGGGGACGAGATGCTTTCTGAACATTTTCTCACCAGATTCTCACACCATGTGAGGGTGCTACTGTGACTATCTCTGTTTTATCCATGGGGAAATGAGGGTCAGAGGCAGAGGTCGCTCCCAGCCGTGGCAGCACTGGGAGGTGAGCAGCGGATGCCTGGGGACTTCTCACTGCCACATAGGGCTGCTGGTGGCTTCAGCTCACGCCCCCCAGCTGCCTGACAGCCCAACAGAGGGGACATCTGTCCTCGGTGGTGAGGGATAGGGTGTCCTACTCGGGCCTGAGGGAGGAGGGCCCAGCGGATTCGCTCTGCCTCTCCTGGGACAAGAAGACGGGTGGCTCCAGGACTTTGGGCTTGTATGATGCTGTCCCAAGGCATGTGGCCAAGAGGACTGCTCAGAAATAGGGCCCACCTTATTTGGTACGGTTTGAGAAGAGAAAAGCTGCCTTGTTTCACAATCTCTCCTCGCTACTTGTCCTGGTGCCTGACGTTTCACCAAATATTCCCCATCTAGCTAGGTGTCTCAGTCCTCCATGTCCTCAGAGGTGGTGAGTTTCTACGGTTTCTAGGGAAACATTCCAGCTATCTGTCAATATGGCTTTATGGATGTTGAAGGGTCTTTACTGCCCTACTAAAACATCTTGTCGGGAGGGCGTAGGCACCTTACGCAGGTGGCTGGCCTGGGAGACGCTGGTGAGGAAGAGGCCAGAGCCCCATTCTGTTCTGGAGTTGGATGGATTGGAGGGGGCAAGGGGCAGAAGGGCCGGGGTGGGGCCGAGGACGTGTGGACCCCCATGCACACCTGCTGGACCTGACCCTTTAGCTTTGTCAGGAAGTCGGTCACGCATGGCCAAGACCCCCAGGTGGCCTCTTTCCTCAGGGTGGACTGGCAGGGCCACATCTGGCTCGGTACACATTGGTTGAGCCATCAGTTGGGTTGGCTGCTGTTGAAATCCACAAAGCACATCCAACACTTGTCCTCCCCTGCCTCTCCCCAGACTAGGAGTGAAGCTTAGGGTGGGTGTGCACGGCCCCAGAGCCAGGGTCAGCTGACATAGTACAGGAGGGGCATAAAGCCAGGTCACGTGGGACCTCAGTCCCCACCCTCCCGTATGGGAATCGGGTCTACCCTTCATTCATTATATGAGGGATGGCGGACACTATTTTGTAGGCAGGAAATAATATCTTAAGCCTCTGCTTGCTACAGGGTCCTTGATGCTTCGGGTTTGCACGTAGGAAACAAACAGGACCATCTTTGCAGATCTTCAGGAGTGGCCAGTTAGGATAGTTCTACCTATTTCGGATCTGGGGACACCGAGGCACCAAGAGGTTGCAACGTCTTCCACCACCACCCCCCCCCCCACAGTACATGGGTCCCAAGGAGACCAGGCCTTTCTTAGTAGCAAAGCAGTCCCCATGTTTTCGACCCACACACCAGACCTTCTCTCCCCACCAGTGCCCCAGCCAGTAGACCAGGAGGGAAGAGGATCAGGTACCTACTCTATGGAGACATTGACAATGGTGGTCCGACCAAAGTGGCTGTTCCAATCTGGAAGAGAAGAAAGTGGCTGACCTCAAGGCGGGTTCCTCAACGGAGTGAGTTGAGGGGCCGCTTGAATTCAAGGCTCCTGAACGAATGCCTGGGGTCTGGAGACACTTGCCCATGTCCTGCCCTTCATTCTCGTTCCCGAAAACTTGCCCCCAACTCCCAACAAGACCAGCAGATTCCTCTTCCCCCTGGGACTCCTGGATGGGGCTCTATGGCTGTGATGTGAGACCACGTCTTCGTGTGGCATCCCCAGTGTCCAAGTGGAGTGTGGCAGACACCAGTAACTGCTTACTGAAGGAGCCCAGGGCCCCACCATGAGTGGAGGGATGAAACCAACAAGGCTATCACCAACGACAACCATCACGACAAGAATGTCATGTTGCCTTATTGTGACAGAGTAAATCCTCCCGGCAAAGTGTATTAGCTTGTCGGTTTAGACATCTCTGGGTGTTAGGAAACATGTCCAGAAATCCTGCATTAATATAACAAATACATAATATACAAAATAGCATCGCCAACACACTGGCTGTTAGGAAGAGAGTTGGGAAAGGCAGAGGTTGCTGACTCCGGTAGCCGCATTTGGGAGCACGGACGTTGCGGGCTACCTTGAAGTACCTGAAGCCTAGCTCTGGCTAAAGAAATAGCCCTGGGAGGAACCAGGGTGCCACTGGCTGCCACCTGGGCATCTGGGGGCTAAGCGACACCACCTTGTTATGCAGCCTCCAGCTCTGTCCCTCCTCATACGTTAAGTGAAATACTGGCTGTTAGTCCCTGAGCACTCACTACGTGCCAGGCACCGGACACACGTTATCTCCCAATCCCCCCGACAGCTAAGGACCCTTCGCTTGGGGAGACTGATCTGCTGAACAGAAGATGAAATGATTTGCTAGTTTGGGCAAATGTATTTTCTGGGAAGCTGATATGGGTCAGAGCAGGGGAACCAAGTCTGTCTTTGAAGCCCAAGCCCAGTCTGTCCAAAGGACCTACCCATTTATAACACGAATAGCAAGACTTCCTAGGAGACCAATTTGGCACTTCCAGTGCCATGTTTGTCACCCCAGGGGCAGGGGAGAGATCAAGATCAGGGATCTCTGCTGTAGGTCACATGCCATCCAAAGGCCTAGCAGGTACCTCACCAGGTGTCACGTGGGGCTGCCACTAAGCCTTCAGTTCCAGGCTAAATTCCCACCGCACACCTGCTGTCCCGAGTCCTGAGCCAACCTTGGGACGACGGACATCTCATCTCCAGTCTCCATGTGGGAGAACTGAAGTTTGGGGGCGCCTCAGGTCATATAACTAATTTTGAGACGTGGGATTTGGTTTTGGATTTCTAGACTACTGAGATCCAAGCTCTGTCCTGCCTTCAGGCTGTCCTCCTGTTCCCGTGGCCCTGGGCTCACTGAGCTCCACCTACCCAGAACGGTGCCGGTGTAGTTGATGGGCAGGATGATACCCAAGGACGGGATGCAGAGGATAAGCATGAAGATGATGAGGTGGTACTGGAACATGATGTAGATGCGGGCGTCATCTCCACACTTGCTGATCAGATCCTCATTCCTGGAAGACACACAGACAAGGACCTTCCTCAGGCACCGGGGCGGCCACGGCCGCCACTGGAGGGAGGTAGAGGAGGAGGAGATTATCACCCTACTCCTAAGTTTTTATTTTTATTTATCTTTATTTTTTCTTAGGAAGATCAGCCTTTATCTCAAAGCCTCTGTCATGTCTGAAATGTATTTCCCAGACATATCCAAGGCAGAAGCTGTTACACACACACACACGCACGCACACGCACACACGGGAGTCCAGAAGCACTTCTGAAATCAAGCAGTCATTCCCTCTCTTGCTTCTTATACAGGCTGAGCGCTTGACACGGGCACCAGACAAACCAGTAGTGATATGGAATTGCATCTGATTTTTTTTTAAAGTGGTTTCTTTTAATTTGTAAATTAAAAAGGAATTCTCATGGGAGCCGTCATGAGCTATCACTCCACAGTGCCAGATGAGTCGAGGTTAGAAAGTCAGACACTACCAAGTGTCGGTGAGGGTGTGGGGGCCCTGGGAGCTCTCTGCCACGCATGGGGACACACTCTGGCCCCATCGCTTCGGCAAACGGTATGATCAAGGAAATTGAACATACGCACAACCTGTGACCCAGCAACTCCACTCCCAGGGAAAACACACGGACACGTGGATCAAGAGACATGTAGAGGAATCTCAGACACATCATTTCCAACAGCCCCAGACAACCTGCATGTCTACCAAGGGTGGAAATGGACACAGGAATTGTGAGATATCGGGGGCCCGGGCTAGCTCAGTCGGGGGAACGTGCGACTCCAGATCTCTGGGGGTGTGAGTTGAGGGGCATGGAGCCTCCTTAAAATAAAAGAATTGTGAGATACAGAAGTGTATGTTCCTATGTGAGATACATAGATCACATTCTATATAGAGTGAAATACTATATGGAAATAAAAATGAATGACCATGGGGCACCTGGGGGGCTCAGTGGGTTAAGCCTCTGCCTTTGGCTCAGGTCATGATCTCAGGGTCCTGAGATCGAGCCCCACATCAGGCTCTCTGCTCAGCAGGGAGCCTGCTTCCCCTTTTTTCTCTGCCTGCTGCTCTGCCTACTTGTGATCTCTCCCTCTCTCTGTCAAATAAATAAATAAAATCTTAAAAAAAAAAAAATGAATGACCATAGCGGGACTTCACAAACACAATGTTAGGGGAAAGACCCAACACAGAATGTTTTCATACACGGAGTTCAAAACAGGCACCCCTGAACAGGGAGTGAGAAATCAGGATACTGGTTGTCTTTGGAGAGAGGGAGGTAGAGGGAGGTGACGGGGGGTTGGAAGGGAGCCGGAGGAGGGCTCCTGGAGGGCCAGCAACATTCTAATCCTTGATCTGCTTTGCGGTCCTATCCAGGAAGCATTTTGGTCCATTGCCTCTGCTTTGCCGCTGTCCTGCCGATTCAACTCCGTGACTATGGCATAAACAGCATTTGTATATGTCGTGTGTTGCCGTGTTGCTTAGCTTTTAACCTGAAGTCTTCTCTGACTGTTTCACGGTCTGTCTACAGGGTTCACGGCCGCACGGTGGTAATGGTGACTGTGGCCTCCACTTACGGAGCCCTGGTTCATACCCAGTACCAAGGTGGCCTCCCCACTCCGCCGGTGGACGTCCCAGTTTACTCACCCCTGCTCTCCGGTCGGGCTTGGAGGGTGTATGCAACTTCTAGCATCCAGTCCGGGATTCAGAGTTATTTTTAAACAATACTATAAAGAGCATATCTTCAAGGCATTTCAATAATCCCCATTTAGGGAATTATTTAGAGTTCTTGATTTTTTTTTTTTTTTAAACTGCAAGCCGTTAAAATACTTTCTGCCCTGGACTTGAGAATTAAATTCCGAGAATGGGGTGGGTGGGTACTGGTGAGAAGGCAGGGTGCTGGGAGGGGGAATGAAGGGAGGTCCTGCTGCTGGCTTGGGTGCCAAGCCCCGGTCACTGACAGGAGCGTGCCTCAGGGGGAGGCACGGATGGGGCTGAGAGAGCCTCCAGGCTCAGGAGGGAGCCGAGGGGAGCTGGTGGGACCAAGGACACAGGGATTTCCTTCCGGCTCCCTGCACTGCACTGGGCACTGGGCCCATTGCTCCATCTCTCTGGGGGGAAGTCAGGTTATCCTCAGCAGCCTAACTTACAGCTCCGGGGACAGCCTGTGGTTCTAAGTCTGTCTGCGTTCCTCTACCCCATCTTTTCCCCTTCTGAACCCCAGGTTCCAGCCACCACCCTTCTCCTCACAACTAATTCTCCTCATGGCCCTGGTCGTTTCCCTTCTGCTGCCTCTTTCTGGAGACCCACTGTATCCACTGTCCTCTCTCATCTTCAAGTTCGCAGCCACCTCTTTCCACACCCTGGAGCTACCACCGGGTTCAAGGGCACATCGGCTACTCTGAAATACAAGAAACCCCTCAAGCCTCCATTCCCTGACCCGCTTCCCTCCTCCTGCTCCCCTCTCCCTCTGCCTCTACTTACCCTTGGAATTGCCCTTCTAAAGGAGACCCAAATCACGATGTCCACGCCCTCTCTTTCTCTCCTTCCACTCAGCCGGGAGCTCAGAGCTCGCACGCTGCCCCCCACAGCCTCGCAGGCTTAGTGAGTCCAGCCCTAGAGGTGGCCGCCTCTTCCTCCTGCTCCCACGACACTCTCTTTTCGATCTTGCTTCCTGCTTTGGGTAATCGATCTGCTCCCACAACTTCAACTAGGACCTCATGCACCCATCTCCCAGGCCACGCCCTCCCGCTCTGACCCTTCCCCAAAGCTTTAACGAACCCTGTCTTCCAATAGCTTGCTGGTCAACATACGGGTTTGCCCAGGCCATAATCCGTCATTCCCCAACACCTTAGTATCTCATCAGCTCCCAACCAGTGGCATCGCTTTCTTCCCCAGAAACCAGACCTGGATCATTCCTTCTCTTAACCAGTTGGAGGCCAGGTGGAGACCACGGCCCATGGACTATGAGCCCCATGATCTCTCTCCCTTTGCCTCCTCCCTCAGTCAGCACCCCCTCTCACACAGACACCAGAAAAGCCTCCTTAGATGGTCACCTTGCCTCTGGACTTTGTCCACAGCCAGCAAGCCCCACCCGGCCCATTCTCCTGCCTACAGATTTTCACCCTGAGTAGCTTGTTCAAAAATAGGAATGGGCCCTCTACTGCTCTAGATCAAAGCCCAGGATCCTTAGCATGGCATTCAAGGTCCTACTGATGCTTCCAGGCCAGTCTTTTAGCCTCTCTCTTGCCATGTATCCTGGGTTCTAGCCATACCGGACTGACCACTTCTGGATGCTTCTGCCCATCTCTGCCCCAAACTTGCACTCATGCAGCCATTTCTTTGTGATGGGCCCTCCACTGGATCTACTGAGGAAATTCTTCCCATCTTTCCAGACCCAGCTCAAAACTTGCTTCTCCTGAACCCCCCAGTTGGAATGAATTTCTTGCTCCCCCAAATGCCCCTTGTCTGGCAGTTATAACCTCCTCATTATGAATTATATGTAGGGAGTCTTGTTAACCTTTGTCTCTCCAACTATGCTGCCTGGGCTCTGTGTCCAGGGACTCAGGCATCCCTGTCCCTGCTCAGCAAATATGTGAGGCTGTCTTCTAGACATCCCAAAGGGTACAGGAGGCAGAGTGCAACGGCCAGCCTCCCTCCCTTCCCGGATGATGGGTTCCCAATGGAGGTGGCTTTGGGTGAAGTCAGGGATCCGCACCCAGACACACGCACTCGATGCACACTGACCTACCCTGACCTGCAGGTCCAGGCACGCACACCCCAACAGCTGCATGCAGATTTGCACCAATGGATTGATGTGCCTCTTTAATTTCATATTTGCACACGCACCACAGACACACCTACCACATAAAGTCTTGTATTTGCCACGCTTCTTTCCTGCAATACAGACATGTTTCTCCCCACCCTGTATACACCCATTGATGAGTCAGCAGATGGCAGAGGAAATCCAGAGAGTCAGCCTCAAGCTACCCAGGACTGGGGATGCAGTCAGCTCTGACAGGCCCAGGCACTCCGGAAGCCCCTCCCTCTCACCTCTGCAAAGGGCTAGCTAATGTGCCATCCTGCCCAACATTCATGACTTTGCTAAACCCAGGAGCCTAAAGCCAGCCCAGAGAGCGTCCCAAGGCCACCAGCTCCAAAAGGTCATATGCCTTGGTGGTCATTTAAAGAAAAAATTTTTTTTTAAAGTAAATGTTTGTTTAAAGGAAAAAAGGTACAATTCCCTAGAAACTGTTGACAGGGATTGCATCTCTGGAGGAGGGCTGGAGGTGGACTTTCATGCTTCTCTGAATGAAAACATATTTAATGTGAGCTTGTGCATGTCTTAGAAGTCGCCAAAGCAAAACCAGAGAAGGTGACAAGAGCTAAATCATTTCCCCTCCACTCTCCCTGCGTGTGGCTAAGGTCCCCGGACCACACACAAACTAGCTGTATCATCTCCTGGGGACCCTGATGAATGATATAGGTAGACTGGAGCGGGGGGTAGAGGGTGGGGGCAAGGCCACAGGGACCCCCCATCAGTGGGGTGGGAGCTCAAACATCAGAGACCCATGGTCCCAAGCCCAGCTCAGGGTTCCCAGGGTCTAGGCAGGGTGCCTGTGCCCCCTTCAGCAGGTCTGGAGAAAGACAGGCACCCTGAGGTGGCTCATGGGGGTCAAGAGGGCTCTTGGGAGGGTGTATGAATGCTCCCGGCTAGGCCCTTGACTGGTGGGCGTGGAGGCGCGTGCAGGAAGAAGGAAGTCCTAGGAGCCTTTGCCAAGAAAGCAAATCAGCAGGCCCAGTCCGGCCCCTCACTGCAGGTGGCCTGGGAGGGGCAGCAAAGCTGCACCTGAAGGCAGGCACCCCAGGCAAGAAAGGGCCCCAGAGGAGGGGTTTGAAAGACCGGCAAGGCAGGGCATATGGGGGATATTCAGGGAGTGCCTGGGAATGTGCAGGGCTATGAGGTGGACACAGAGCTGTGTGCACGGGCACGATCATGTGTGCGTGTGTGTATGTGTATACATGTACACACAGTGGGAGCACAGAGTTCTGGAAGAGCTCTGGAGAATGCTCAGCGGAAGCAGGACGGAATCGGGAGCGGGAAGTCAGAATCCTGACGCAAGGGGGAGTCAGGAGAAAATGGGGGACCTGGGGTCTGTCTCCTTGCCAAGTGGGGTCTGGCCCTAAAGAGATCCGGGAGGCAAAGTGGGCAAGGGGCTGTCCCTGGGTCATCAGTGCCGAGGCAAGAGGAAGGGCGCCCTTCTGCCCGGTGTTTTCTTTTCCATCTCAATAGTATGGAAGGTGCTCACAGAAATAAAGCAAGTAGCAAAGCAGGAAGAATTTCTTCCTCCTGGGGTGGATTCATACGTGTGAGGAAGTGGTCCTTTCCTGAGGGCTGCAGGCTGTGTCCAGTTCCCATTCCCACAAGCCCCTGGCACCCCAGAGGGCGTCCTCTGCCTGGACAGGGCTGAGGCAGTGTCAGGGGGAGTGTGGGGCCACCCGGGTGGCTCAGTTGGTTAAGCATCTGCCTTCAGCTCAGGTCATGATCCCCGGGTCCTGGGATCAAGCGCCGCATTGGGCTCCCTGCTCCGTGGGGAATCTGCTTCTCCATCTCGCTCTGCCTGTTGCTCCCCCTGCCCCTGCTCGTGCTTGTGCTGACTCTCTGGCAAATAAATAAATAAAATCTTAAAAAAAAAAAAAAGAAAAGAAAAGAAAAGAAAGTTCAGGCACTTACTTCATGGTGACGGTGTTGAAGAACCAGGAATAGAAGCCCTGGGGAGAAAGGAGAGAATGTGTGAGAAAATCCAGCCCCGGGCCTGCCCTACAGCTGTGGGAAGCCAGGCGGAGTGAGGCAGCACCCACAGGGCCCTCCTTCCAGGCAAGAGATGGCAGCGAGAAAGAGCCGGGTTCTGGAAGGAAGTGGGCTCCCTCTGGAATCCGTAGTGACTGTCCAGGGAGAGGTCTCCCCGGAAGCGAGCTGTGAGTTGACGTTCCTGCCATGTGGTTTCCTGTTACAGGAAATGGGGGCTTCGTGAGCCTTGGGCCAGAGGGACAGAAGGGACCCTTTGTGGGGTGGATGTTGGTTGCTTTCTGTCTGTCCCTCGTTGCTTCCTTCTGGGGAATGCCCCCTACCCCAGGCCTGTGGTCTGGGGGGCTGTCTGTGAGGTAGGGGTCTGCCACCCATGGTCAAAGATCAATGGGAGTGTGACCCAAGTGGGGCCAACCAAAACTCTCTCTGGGGGGTTGATGGACCAGGGATGTGGGGAGAGGGGGGTCTTTCTCCACCTGGGCTCCTACACCTTGCCGAGCACCATGAACCCTGCAGTGGCTTGGTGCCAACTTCGACACCACAGGCAGGAGTTTGTCTGAGGAAAAAAGCCCACTCAGAGGAGAGAGGACTGAAGGGGGGGATCCTGGTGGTATCTCTGGGCTTCCCGGATCTCCCTGTCCCCAAGGCAGCCACTTCTCTTCTCTCTCCCTTGGGTCTCTTCTGTCTGAGAGTCCTGCCGATTATGTCTTTCTCTCAAGGTCTTGCTGTCTGGTTTCTGGGTGGTAGGGAAAGGCAGCCTCACCATGGAGGCGGTAGAAGGCCTAGAGAGGAAGTGTGCTTGGGAAGAGTGTGCCAGGTCCGGGAGCTGGTTAAGTTACCCTGGTGCATGCTTCCTTCTGGGACCCTGCAGGGTTTAGCAAGATCTGGGGAAGCTGCGATTCTTGATTGACCCCACCGACCACAAACACATCAATGAAGAGGCAGGCCCGGCTGGCTGACATTCCCCCACACCACACTGACTGGGGAAGGGGTGTTGCCCAAAAGGAAGCAATGTGGCGGGAGGGGGCAGGCAAGCAAGAAACAGAAGCAAGTTCCTTGTTCCCTTCAGTATAAGGTCCACCAAGTCCCCTTCCCTGGACTGGGGTTGCCTGACGGATGTCCACCTTGGGGGGACCATTTCCCAGTTCTGTCCTAGGGAACTAAGAGAAGGACCCTCTCTCAAAAAGGGTTGGGGGAGTGGCTCAGTCAGACTCTTGACTTTGGCTTGGATCATGTTGTCAGGGTTGTCGGATCAAGCCCCATATGGGGTTCTGTGCTGGGCATGGAGCCTGCTTGGGGTTCTCTCCCTCTGCCCCCCCCCCAATAAATAATAAAATCAGGACAGATGCCCAGGTGTGAGCCAGAGCAATGAAGGGGAATAGAATGCTGGTGACATTGACTGGGAAAGTCCCCAGGGAAGGACTGAATCACTAAATAAGAAAGAGTTGGGCGGAAAGTCTGACCACCCCTCCCTGCCCTGGGGGTCTTTCTCTATCACCCACCTTTGGGCGAACTGGGTATGATTTATTTATGGAGCAAGTAGGTCTGTGGACAGTCCCTCATGGTCATGAACGGTGGAGGACCCACCTTCCTGGGACTCCCTTCCGCCCCCTCTCTATGGAGGGTGTCAAGGGTGATACCACACGAGGCAGGGCCCCGTCCTGGAATTCACACAGGACTGGACTGTCCGTCGAGGGGCAGAGGTCATGAGTAAAAGCGTGGCCCCTGCAAAAGTCACAGCGAGCCTGTGGGGACGATCTCTCTCTGCGTTCACGGACAACAGACACGCACGCACACACGCTCCCCCGCATGTCCATCACAGCTATGAAAGGCCTAAACTGTCCAGAAATCTCAGCAGCTGAACAGCGGGCCCGAGCAGGGATGCCTCCTCCCCTCGTGCCTCGCCCCTGCAGGAGCCCATTCAGCTGACAAGGCCGAGTGACTGTGGTTGGTTCATCGCACCTTTCTTAGTGGCCCACCCTCCTCACTCCCACCACATGGGGTAATGACCCCTCTGCTGCCCCTGGCTGAGGCCCCGGCATCGGGACTGGGACGCTCCTGGGGCCACCTCCTTGCCTCCCACTCCCCCTGCCTGCCTCAGTTCTAGCTCTGCAAGGTGATTGCCTGCTGTTGCCATCATGATTTCTCAGCTATTTTTTAAAATAAGTGACCTTTTCTGCCATTGTACACAAAAACCCTAACCGAAGTCATGTTTCTGAAAATAAACCTGAGAACGACCTTGAAAGGTAAGGTGTGACTGTCCGTATTCTATGGAGAAACTGAGAGACCAACCGGTCTGTGGCTCCCCACACGGCCTGGGGCAGACCCTGCCAGATCTCTCGGAGGGATAAGAGCGGAAGTAAAATGGTTCTACTCACTCACCGCCTTCAATGAAACCTATCAGATGCTACTTACACGGGAGGCTGGCCGGGGTGCGGGGACCGTGGCGGGCAGGACCCAGTCAGCGCCCGCTCTCGCTGTGGGATCAGACACACGGGATAGATCGGGTAGATGAGAGACTGTTACTGACTGGGATAAGAGCCTTGAAAAAGACGAATGCATTTTCCATGCATCGAGAACAAAAGATCTGGATACACGTGGGGTGGATGGGGCTCCTGGGGCAGTGAGTGGTGCGGGGGCTGAAATCTGAGCAAAGGGTCTGCGTGTTGGCCCCGAGTGGGGTCCACTGGAAGGTGGGGGACAGGAAAGAGCCGGCAAAAGGCCCTGTGGAGGGAAGGAGGTGGCGATTTTGAGGATCTAAACGGTGGCTGATGTGGCCAGGGATGGGGGAGTTGGGAGGAGGAGGAGAGACCGGACGGGGGGAAGGAGACAAAAGTACAAGGCCATGGCAAAGCAGCTGCGCTTTATTCCAAGAACACTAGGGAGCCAGTGAAGGGGAATGCGTGTCCCCGCTCCTGGGAGCGCCCCGGAGGCAGGTGGAAAGCGAGTGGCACAGGACACAAGAGTGGACGTGGAAGCTGGTTAGAGGCCACGCTGGTCATCCAACAAGGGACCAACGGGGGCCTGGACTGGGGGGAGAGGCAGAGAGGAACAAGACCGGGAAGGTGACGGCAACACAGCTCGGTCATGGACTGGCTGTGCCTGGGGCTTGGGCCACAGCAAGGGGGTCACCTGGGTGGGTGGTGGGTAGAGTCTGAGACCAGGGATCAAGGAAGGGGGGGGTGTGTGGAGGGACACTGTGGCATGTTTTGGACATACTGAATCCCAAATGCCTTTATAATATCCATGTGGAGCTACTCTGAAGGCCATTGGATAAATGTGCCTGGAGCCCAGAGGGAGGTTTAGTTGGAGACGGAAATTTAGGAAGGGTCTGTGGGGAGGGGGCAGTTGAGGTCGCAAGTATGGGTGACACTGCCCAGGAGCGCGAGGGGGAGGCCTGGGACCCACTGAGGAAAACACGGGCACTGGAGGAGGAGCCAGCAGAAGACAGAGAGGAACAATGGAGTGGTAGAAGGGAGCCCCAGAGACGGTGTCACGGAAGCAAGTAGGAGGGCCTATTCAGGAAGAGAAGATGGTCTATAGGGCCAGATGTTTCGGGGAGATCACCTGGGATGAGAACTCAGGAAAGTCCACTGGGTTTCACGGCGTGAGACAACTGGTGAGCTGTGTGGGTGGGATGGAGGGCGGAAGCCACACTGCAGGGCTCGAGGACAGGGCTAGTGGAGAGCACAGGTGCAGACAGCTCTTCCGGTTGCGCCGTGATGGGGCAGAGGGAGACAGACAGCTGTGGGCAGCAGAGGGGCCCACGACTATCCTCGACCCTCTCTGCAACACTCCAGCTCCGTTCCATGACTGCGGCCAGCCTTCCTGGCCCCTCCTGGAATTCATGCACTGACCACCGTCCTGTGTGCCTCTGTCTGGGGGTCCCTCAGCCAGGGAGAAAGTCCCATGAAGCTGGACTTGGTCCGTTTTGTTGACTGCCCAGTCCCCAGACCAGGGGTGGCCCACAGCAGGTGCACCAGGACAATGGGCTGAGCGAATGAACAAGCGTGGGTGGATGACTGGCGTCTGACAGGGAAGAGAAGACCGGGCTGCCCGTAGCAGGGGTGGGAGGCTGAGGGGATCCCTGCCTGATGTGAGACTCTGCTATGCAAAGTGGGACCCGAGTCCTTGGCTTGGAGTGGGGGCTTGGGCAGGACCCAGGCTGTGACGAGGGCTGAGGATTTGAGAAGAGCAGGAAAATTCATTTTAAAAATCCCTTTAAAATGATAGAATTAACGAACTCTTACTTGGAGGTAGGAACGGTGAATAGCTCCATCTTTCTGATGGGGAGACGGAGGCTTGCAAAAGGCCGAGGAATTTGTCCAAGGTCACACTGCCAGGTCTGGTGTCGCGGGCTACAAAGCCCCTGAGTGTGAGCTCGCTCCTTGCTGCACACGGCTGGGCTGCTGCCCAGAGGAATCTTCTGGGCCCAGCCCCCCCCCCAAGCACTCACCTTGTCCTTGTGTTCCATCTCCAGGGAAATATCTGACGGAGATGTCTTCTCACTCTGCTCCCCATAGATCAGTGAAGTCAGGCTGCGGCCAGGAAGAGCAGTGGGCAGGGGGGCAGAAAAGGAGAGAAAAGGCCTCAGGGCCTGCTGTCCCTCTGGTCCCCAGGCCAAGAGCTTCAATACGCTCCTGTCCAGGACCAGACATGCCTTAGCTCATGTGCTGAGCACAGAGCTCTGGGGACAGACCCCATTAAGCACCCTTGTTGCCAGGTGCCCAATGTAGCTTGGGAACCATGGGATCCAGAAAGTCTTAGATCGGAGAAAAAAGTGGCCTCGTGCCTAGAGATGACTGCCTGTCCCCCCACCCCCCACCCCCGACCAAGTTCTCTTCCTGCAATGAGGGCCAGTGCAGGGCAGGAGTGGGTGCCGAGAGGGTACCTGCTGGGTCCTGGCTGTGGCAGCACATCCCCCAAGGAGGCGAGCAGCTCGCTCATCCTGACCCCCAGGCCCCCCTCACCTGTCATTGTGGATCAGCAGAGCCAGGCGCCCGTAGTCCCACGCGGCTTTCCGGAGGAAGGAGTAAACCAAAATGATGACCTATGGGCCAGGGAAGGGGATGTGGGGCTACGTCTTCTGCTTGGCTGTCTCCTGCATCCCCATGGAGTAGGCCCTATCCCTCAGGCTCCCAGGGGCTCCCTGGGCACCCCCCCAACATCCAGCCCTGTTAGTGTGGAGGCTATGCCTTCTTCAACTCTGGATGGCTCCCCAGCACAGAGTGGATTCTCAGAGTTTGCTAATGACAGCTTTGGTGTCATGTTTGGAACTATCTGACAAGCACATTCCTTGAAGGGGCACCTGGGTGGCTCCGTCAGTGAAGCGTCTGCCTTCAGCTCAGGTCATGATCCCAGGGTCTTGAGATCGAGCCCCGCATGGGGTTCCCTGCTCAGCAGGGAGTCTGCTTCTCTCTTTCCCTCTACGCCTACCCCTGCTTGTGTGCACTCTCTCTTTCTCTCAAATAAATAAAATCTTAAAGAGAGAGAGAGAGAGAACATTCCTTGAAGAAATCAGCAAGGGGAGAGAGAAGGAAGGCCCGAGGGCACTGGCCAGGTAGGGTCTCTGGACAGCAGCTCGGGGAAGGGAGTCTTAGGAATTCTGCCTCTGCCCGCAGTCCCCTCTTCCCGGACTGCCCTGAACGGGACTGCCATTTAGGAAGTCCCCACTGCTGTGGCTGGCATGCACTTGGAGCACTGAGGCCCCTGCTGCGTCACTTGTGCTCGCCCCCGCCTCCCCCCCACCCCCTTGCCGAGGCCTCACCACCCACCATGGAGCCCAGGACTTACCACCCACAAGAAGATATTGAGGAACAGCACAGTGGGGATGCCCCCAAAAGGCTGTCCCTGCAAGACGGTGCTCCGGGAAGGGAAGCATTCATTCGATGTCATGTTCTGAGTCTTTTCCATCGTGTTCAGGCTGCCCGGTGGGACAGTCATCCTAAGAGCTCCCTGGTGACAAAGGGACGCTCAGGTCAGACAAGAGACCCTCTCGCTCTGTAAGCACAGAAGCCTGCCAGGGAGATGAGGCAGGGCACACTGCGTGCCCATTGCCAGACCGGAACAGGTCAGGGCGGGAGGCTCAGCCCTGAGATGGCAAGCAGCCTTATCCCATAGAACAGCAGCTGCCCCAAACCCAGAGCCATGACGGCAGAAGAGCCCAGATCCCTTTACTGAAAGAGTTGTCAAATGCACCTCCAAATGGATCTTCTTATTCCTACTTTTGTGAAGCTTTTATTGCATAACATTTCTTGCATGAACAAACTTCACAAAGGCGGGTAGGACCCCAGAGTGGGAGTATTCCGTTTGGAGAAGAGAAGTGCATTCACGGGACACCTGTGCAGACAGGGTCTAACATCCTATGATTCTCTGATCCAGTTTCCAGCAAAAGAAGGTTCCTAGGACTAAATGAGGGAAAGCGGCAGGGCACCCGGCACAGAGTGGTGACTTGGTAAATGTCACTGTCTTAATGTTGAACTTGAACCAGGGAGATTGGCACCTGCCCAGGGACCTGAGCCAATCTGATGAGGGCTCAGGGTCATGGGCATCAATATTCTCCAGACTTGGAGAAGATTGGGAAGCATCGAAGAAAACGGGGCGTGACTAGGAGCTGCGTGAAGTTATCTCCAAAGTTGTTCTGGTTTTTAAAGATAATTTGTTTTGGCTCCAGACCATGTCTCACCCTAGGAGGTTCTTTACTCCCGTTCAAGAAAAGTAGGCTCATTCCTTCATTCCGTCACTCAACAAGTATGTAGTGAGCAGGTGCCTTGTGTCAGACTGATGCTGGTGGTGCATCAGCAAACGTATGAAAGGCATCACTCTGACCCTTGGTTTGAGAATACAGAGGGGGGGGTCAAACAGAGGAATAGAAACAGACAGGTCAGTTAGGAGGAAATCGTAGCAATCCAGGCAAGAGGTAACGACAAGTCAGGATTGGGATGGAAACAGAGGAGGTGGTGAGAAGTGCTCAGATTTTGGAAGTATTTTGAAGGTGAAGCCAAGACTTGCTGATAGAATGGATGGTGGCAGGTAGGGTGTAAAAGAGAGGAGTCCAGAATGACTCTGAGGTCTCCAGGTCCAGCAACCAGAAGAGGGGAGATGCTGTTATTGGGTGTGACGACCAGAAGTGCAGGGTGGGAGGCAGTCAGGAGCCGGGTGCTGGATATACTAAGTGGACATGCCAGGCGGATGGCTGGGGCTGAGTCTGCAGCTCAGAGGAGGGTTAGGAGACATTAATGGGAGCATCAGCAGCAGAGAGAGGACTCCTAGAGGCGTAGGACTGGATCGCCAAAGGAGTGAGCACAGGGTGAAGCTCAAGATCTGAGCCTCGGGGTGTTCCAGTGCAGAGAGCTGCGACAGAGGAGGAAGACACAGGAAAGGGACTAGAAGAGCGTCCAGGGAAGAAGGAGGAACAGCAGGAGAGGGTGGTGTCCTGGAAGCTAAGTGTCTCCAGGAGGAGGGAGGGACCACGTAAAAGGACAACTGGGAATCAGCCATCGTTAAAGCAACGTGGAGGTTTAGTCCGTGACCAGACTGGAACAGGTGCGAGAGAGGAGGATGCCAGCAGATCTGGAGCCAGTGGGCGTGAACAGCTCCTTCAAAAAGGAATGAGAGTTTGGAAGTGGTTAGGATGGAAGAAGTAGCAAAATGGGGTATGCCAAGGGGAATGGTCCAGTAGAAAATGAAAAGCTGGTGATGTGGGAGAGAGAGACAGGGCATCACTGGAGCACTGTGAGGACGTGGGAAGGGCTGGGAACTGGTGCCCAAGTGAAGCTGGCCTTGGCCCAGAGCTGGATACTGACCCACGAAAGCAGGAGGGAGGCAGGTGTGCTGGCGGGGCTCATGGGCGTGCCCTCCCACAGCTTCTATTTCTCAGCCTTGGAGAGAACAAGGTCTCAAGGTGACTGTGCAATGCTGGTGGTGGTGGGCAGATGTGGGATGTTTGCGGACAGGAAAAAAGGCAGAAATAGAAAGCTAGAGGAGTGGTGGAGTGAATGGAGGACAGGAATTGGGAGGACTGCCGGGCAGCCCTAAGGGTCCACTGAAGTTCGTGGTCTTGAATCGACAGCAAGGGCAGCTAGACTCACTGGGCATGTCCCCCGCTGTACTCATCCGTGCGGGTGCAGATGTGGAAGGGGAGCACAGCTCGACCTAAACAGGCTGAAGGTTTCCCCAAGATGAGAATAAGAGGCTTGGCACTGAATGTAAGGAAATAGTTTTACTGACTGGCCAGGTAAGGAGAGAAAGGAGACACATGTTGGGCGAGGGATAGTGACAGGTGCCAGGGGTCCAGGGAGGTAGAATGGTCAAGTGCCACAGGCCGTGAGCTGACAGATAGGAAACTGAACTGTGTGACGCTGAGACCGAGAAGGGATTCGTTATGGGTAGTGAGAAGGTCTAGGGCATGACCATGGCGTGAGTGGGGGAGTGATGTCAAGGAATGGAGAGGCTGGACTGTCCTTTGTGGAAATCTTTAAGAATGAAGACTGGCACAGCACTGGTGTGATGAATGGAACACTTCCGGGAAGGAGGGGAGTGACCTGGTGGGGGGTGGGGTTAGTTGGTGCCTGTACCCAAGATGGGGTGTGGGATTCTAGGCTAACACTTTGGTCCAAGACGGAGACTTCAGCAGGGAGGAAGGAAGAAGAGTCTGGACGTTGCAAAGAGGAGTGAGGAAGATGTATCTCCAATCCACTGGCTTTGCAGGGGGGTATGGGAAGTCCTATCCTGGGGAGTCTCCGGTTTCAGGTCCCAGTGGGCAGGTGAAGCGCTGCAGAATCTGGGGTGTTTCTGGGCATCGCAGGCTCTGTGGCACTGAATCTCAGTTCCAACACTCACTAGCTACCTCAAGCACGTCACTTCCGGTCTCCCTGCCTCACTTGCTCATCTGTAAAAGGAGGGGGGAGTGTTAGTAACCAGTACCCACTTTACAGTGCTGTCAAGAGGGACAGTGCGTTAAGATTCGTCAGTCACGGAGAGCAATGCCTGGAACACAGACGTATTCCAGACACTTGTCAGATGAAAAGTTGACGCAGGGCTCCAGGGGACACTGTGGAATGCTGGCCGGAGTTAGGGAGGCTTGGGGGTTGGGGATGAAAAGGGGCATAAAGGTGAAGGGACAGGTGTGCAGGATAGGGGAGGTGGCCTGGGGGTGTGGGGCTCCCTGTGCTAACTCGCAGAAATAGGAAAACACCAGAACTCACCCTCCTTCCAGCTAGATTAGCATCTAACCGGAGCAGGGAGCCTCCTGCCTATCTTTTTCTGCTCCCCTCTCTTTCAGCCCTAGGTTGCCCACGGTTTTATTACTCCAGGTCACTTCTCAATTTATTGACACAATCATGCTTAGCTAAATGTAAACTTAAAATGGTTTACACTGAGCACGGTACCTTTAAACTCTAGCCTTCTGTCAGAGGAGCCGGAGTAGCTAGTAGCCTTTCTCTGGGCATCTCTCTGGCAGCTGCGGCAGGGAGCTGCAGTTCTGCTAGTGGCCACCCGGGGGAGCCCGCGCTGAGGAAGCTGCTGGGGAAGGGCTGGGGCGCGCAGGCGCGATCCGAAGGCCTCGGAGAGCGGGTCCTTACCTGAGTCGGTTCTCCAGGGAGGGGCCGAGTCAGGCCCGGGGGCTCCGCTCAGCTCCGCGGCAGCTGCAAGAGGACAAAGGCGGTGGAGAGACCAGAGTTAGGGACCCAGGCTGTGTTCGCGGGTCGCGTCATCCCTTTGAGCGTCTTTGCTCATCTTTGTGCTCGGGATGCTCAGCCTTTATCACAGGTGTGTTTCGCCCATAGTTTTTCTCAATCTGTGGCTCCTCTTTTTCTTTTTTTCCTGGTATCTCTGAAGCACCAGGGTTTTGACAAAGTCCAATTTAACAGATTTTTTTAAAAGATTTTATTTATTTAATTGAGAGAGAGACATAATGAGAAGGGAGAGGGTCCGAGGGAGAAGCAGACTCCCTGCTGAGCAGGGAGCCCGAGGTGGGACTCGATCCTGGAACTCCAGGATCATTACCTGAGCTGAAGGCAGTTGCTTAGCCAACTGAGCCACCCAGGCACCCTAACAGATTTTCTTTTATGGACCCGGCTTTCAGTATGGTGTCCATGAAATCTTTGCCTACCCCCAAAGTCTTACAGATCTTCTATGTTTTCTTCTAAAAAATCACATCGTTGTAGCTCTGACACTAAAGTCTGAGATGCACTTTGAGTTCAGGCTGACACAGGAGGTGAGGTGAGGGTCTAAGTTCATCTTTCGCATGTGGCTATCCAGCTGCCTGGCACCCTTTTTTGGACTCTCACCTTTAAACTGAGGGGAAGAGCTGGGACCCCCTGCCCCCACCTCCGTCAGGGCTGTCTGGGGGACTGGAGCCAGACCAGGGAGGTGAGAGCACCCAGTGACCAGGAGCCCAGCTGTCGGGTTGAGTGACTTGTTATTTGGGTAATACCGTGCATGATGAGGGAAGGGGGCATCCCGGGCTGGGAAAAGCTCCGGCTTCCATCTGGCTCTAAGGAGGTTTGAGTCCTGCTGCTGCTCTTTTCCACTTAGCTCCCACACACTCATTCTCTCTCCTTCCAAAAGCACCCCCTCTCCTCCCTCTCCCCTCCTCCCTTCCTTCCACAAAGAAGGGCTGAGTCCCTACCATGTGCCAGCCATCCTGCCAGGCTCTGGGGGCCCAGCCGACCGGGTTCTGTCCATATGAGGCTTTCAGACTCAGCGGGGAGACGCGTGGGCACGCCAGGCATATGCCACTACACCCTCGCCTGATGGCCCAGGGCAAGGCGGCCATGGGGCGGGCCCACCTCGAGTGGCCAGAGGAGGCTTCTGCAAGGAAGTCACCTCCGGGTGAGATGCGAGGAGGAGGAATCCGGACAGCGTGGTGGGAAGCGTGGACAGAGGGGAACCATGTTGGCCAAGACCCAGGGTGGGGACAGAGCATGGCATTTTGGGGAAGATAAAACCGAACAGTCATGGCTAGAGCACAGGGTGGATCACTGGTTTGTGCTTTGTTTGCTTTTATATTCATTTGGCAAGAACCGGCAGCATAGTGACTCTTGCCAGGTCCTCTTCAGGGGGTTCCCAGCCTCTGGGATTTGGGGAGAGAATTGCTGCTGGGAGAGGCACGGCCCGGGTGGCCATTCTCCCCAGGAGGGGCTCCAGATAAAAGGTGCAAGCCTCTAAGCCTGGAGGGGGCGTGACCCATGGGCAGGGCCCGGCATGTGCAGCATGCCAGAAGGTGAGGCAGGTGAGGAAGCAGAGGAGGGAAGGAGGTGAGGAAGGACAAGAGAGAAGAGAGCCTCACGCCCACCTCAGCTCCTTCCCCAGCGTCCTCAGCAGCAGGCACAGGTGGGATGAGGGAGGCTGTTGTAGAGACCCAGAGCACTGCCCCGCCTTTCGTCCTCGCCCCTAGACTGTGCCTGGACACTCCTTTCTGGAGAGCTTTCCTCCTTCCTTCTTTCTAGCTCTTGGGTGTGAAGAACAGGGGTAGAGGGCTTTCTGGAGACCAAAGTATCGGCACTGGAAAGAACAAAACTTGCAATCTGCAGGATATAAAGGAACAACGAACGGGGGCACCCGCCTGGCTGGAGCAGAGGGCAGCAGGGGACTCCTCTTTGGGCACAAATTTCACAGCAGAGCACAGGGAGGTGATCAGAGCCGTGGGAGGAAGTGGGCTGTCTAAAGCCAGACTGTCTGGGCTGAAATCCCAGGTCCAGCCTTGCTAGCTGTGTGACCATGGACAGCGACCTCACCTCTGTGAGCCTCAGTTTCCACCTCTGGAAAGTGGGGCTAATAGAAGCACAGCCTCACGAGGTTATTGCGAACATGAAACCAGCGAAATCACACAAAGCCCTTTGCAGAGCACTTGAGAAAATGTGCTATTAGTCCATACTGTAGTCATTGGCACTAGCTTATCTGTGACACGGTGGTGAGGAGCCAGGCTGGACCATTCCTGGTTTCCATCCCCCTACTCTGTTCTGGAACAGGCCGGGGAGAGATCTGGAATATGGGAAGGACTGTCCAATAACCCGTAAGCTGCTGCCTGTAGGTGGTTGTTGCCCCTGTCCTTCCTGTGCAGGAGACACAAATGTCAGCCTTGCCTTTTGGGCCAGCGAGGGGCAGGGAGAGATGGTGGCGATGCTGGCTGGTGAGTCAGGATTCTCAGCCCCCTCCTCAGCTGCATGTCCTATCTGATGGGGAATGTGTGGTCTTCCTCCTTTCCCATTTCTCCCCCAGCCCAGCCTCCAATGGCAGAACCTGAAGCCTTAGCAATCCCAGGCCTGGACAAGATTTACTTCAGCAAGTGGGCTTCGTAAAGAACTAGCTCAGTCTTTATTAGTCCTGTGGCCCTTTGCTCACCCGCTTCCTTCCAGACCTGGCCTGGTTTTAGCCACTGCGGTCCTAAGTAGCCAGGCCAGCACTTTTTGCCTGTCTCCTCCTCTCAAGGCCAAGTCCTCTGCATGAGGAACCCAAATCCCCCAAATCCTAGAGCGAGGGTGGTCCAGGAGCCCTGGGGCTGGGGGGAGAGGGAGGAGAGCAATCTTATTAATAGCCAACATTTAATGAGCACTTATTATCGGAGAAAATCTTCCCATTCAAGTATAGCCCATTTAATTCTCACAAGTACCACAGGGTACCAAAATCATCCCTGATGCAAGAGAAAATTAAGAAAATTAAGGCCCAGACAGGTTCGATAACTTGGCTAAGGTCATGGTGCTAGTAAGTGGGAGGCTTGAACCTGAGCAGTTTGTAACCCTCTGCTCCCTCCTCCTGGACCCTCTCGACCTCTGCTGGGATGTAGAGCTGGGCAGGGGGCAGAGGAAGGGGGTGACTTTGTGCAAGCCCTTGCCCGGGGATGGAACCTTGTCCAGCCTTGCAGGGTGGCACAGTGGAAACTGCCATGGACTTGGGGGCACCCGGGGTCACCTGTGGCCTTCTCTTCTCTGGGCTTCTGCCTGTAAGATGAGGGGTTTCTGTGGGAATTCTCCAAGGGCCAGGCTGGACCAAGGATTGTGGATGTCTCTGAGACACAGCCTGCTGCCACCCAGTCTATGCCTCCCAGTGCTGCCCAAAGCCACCATCCTTGTGGGTTCTTAGGCACAGATCCAGAGGCCTGCAACTTGGTTGGACAAGCAAATCACTAGAGGCCAAAGGCATGTCCTAAGGCAAGAAGCTGGGTGGGGAGGCCACCCCTGCCTCCTCCTCCAACCGTGTCCCCCTTGGAGTGCACAAAGCCAGAGCATCTGTTCCCCAGCGCCCACCATCTGGGCTTCTCTCAGCCTTCAATTACTCATCACCTTTCTGGCAACAACAGGAGAGATGCTTTGCCATGGTTTTGGACCTGAAATGAACTGGAGCCTCCGGCCATGGGCACCCACCACCTCCCCTTCTTCTCTGGGTCTCACTTGGTATCCCTTCCACACCCTCTGCTCTCAGATCTGCATCCCCCTTTCCAGGGTCCACTTTGCAGCAGGTTCTCTGGGGGCCCCAGGGAGAGGGAGGAGGGAAGCGGGGTCACTGCAGCGAGGGTTCTGGGTAATGTCCCTCCCCAGCCACCACACCAGCAGGCCATGAATCTTCCCTGCCCTGAACTGCCCTGAATCTCCGTCTCTTCATATCGTCACAGTGAAGTGGGTTTCGCCCAACGTTCCACGTGAAGAAATGGTCGTGGCAGGCCACGAGATTTGCCTAAGGCTAGGGAAAGTGGTGGAACGGGCATCAGAACTGGGTTTCCTGGCTCCCCATTCAGCGCTCTCAGGCTTGGATGGATGACTCTGCCGCCTGGGGCTGGGGGTGGGAGACCCCGGGAAGGTGTTTTGTAGATCAGACACTCACGCCCCACTCCAGACTCTAAGAACAAGAACATCCAGTCCATTTTTAGGTGCAGCTGAGATGGAGAAACGGCGGCTTAGGGTCCCCAGGATGATCTGCATCTAGATAAGGCATTCCTGCAGATCTAAAAGGTCTGCTGCCTCCCCTGAAAGGAAGGAGGGGGAGGCGATGCGGCCATATGGGGTGGCAGCTCAGGACCCGGGTCCTTGCAGTCTGCTCTCGGGTCTCCCCTGGCCCTCGTCTCTGTGGGAATCTGGGGGAGGTTGGCTGGAGGTCTGCAGAGGCCACACCACTTCTCACCACTTGACGTTTCTCCCTGTGCCTGTGGTCACTGGCTTAGCCAGTTCGTGGGGCAACACGCCTGCTATCTGTCCTGTGCCCAGGTGTTCCCGAGCTGTGCCACTTCCCCCACCCTCTTTGTACGGCTGGCCTTTGCTATCACTGCCTGGTGCTCTGTTGCTTTTCCATGGATGTGAGCAGCCAGTTTCCCCGACAGGTCCCTTGATGACAGCCCCCATCGTTGTGCTTCTCCCACAATGACCAGCATGCCAGAGGCCTCAATGAAAGACAGAAGGGCCTGTCCCCAGGGCCATACTCAGGAGCAGGAAATAATAAAATGTGATTTGCATATGTTTGCATAACATGAGTCACTCATTTTATAACCACCACCTCACCTCCCCCCCCCCCTCCCCCGTCTGGCCGGCACATTGGGGGTTATCAAGTCTTGCTCCCTGGATCACAGCATGAAGTAGAGGAAACGTATGTTTTGGGGTCAGGGTAATGGGTGTGATCTGGCTCTATTGACTGCAATTTAACCTACTGGTAT